TATAGTAATTTATATATAGAACTGCATCACGTTTCACTATGATCATTCTTCAGTTGACTGGAGAATCGTCAATTAATCTTTTTTGTACAAATTATTTTTATTTATAATAATTAGTTTCTTATTTGCTCTTTTTTTGCAAATTTTTCTATATTTAGTAATTTTTATAAAACTTTATCTCTTAGTACGTTTTCGGGGTCCTGGTATTACTATAAAGAGGTTTGACTATATATAAAATTGAAAATTTCTGAAAAGAAAATAATCAAACATAAAATACAAGTAAAGATAAGAAAAAAATTTAAATAAATATTTGATAATTTTTAAAGATAAAAATTAGGTCTTAACTATTAGCTAACTACTTAGCTGATTTTTTTACCAGCTGGCTTAGCTAGCCAATAAAGCCTTATAGCTTATAACACTAGCTGATATATACCAACTTTCTTTGATTTACCTTTTTTATCAACAACCTCTTTTGATTTACCTTTTTCATCAACAACTTCTTTTGATTTATCTTTTTTATCAACAATCTCTTTTAATTTATTTTTTTTATCAACAATCTCTTTTGATTTACTTTTTTTATCAACAACCTTTTTGATATATCTTTAATATTACTAAATTTATTAAAGGCAGCTGGTTAATATACTTTTTGTTAAATTCAAAAACTAGGATTAGTTTCATTTAGTTATAATTAAACAAATAGTATTACTATCTTTATCTGTATTGCTTGAAAAGTTTTTTAATTGTGAACATATATAATATACACTATACTGGAGTTACTGATTTAGCAATAGCTTCATAGTTATCATCAGAGGTATCCTCTGGATTATCACTATCAGGATCATCTAAATTAACACTATTAGAGTCATCCAGATTGTCGCTATCAGAAGCATTCTAATTAGCAGAATCATCCTAGTTAGCAGGTGCATTCTGGTTAGCAGAGTCATCCTGGTTAACAAAAGTATTCTGATTAGCAGAGTCATCCTGGTTAGCAGAAGTATTCTGATTAGCAGGGCATCCTAGTTAGCAGAAGCATTCTGATTAGTAGGGTCATCTTGGTTAATAGGGGCATTCTGGTTAGCAGGATCATCCTGATTAACAAGAATATTCTAATTGCAGAGTCATTTTAGTTAGCAGAGACATTCTAGCTAGTAGAGTCATCCTGATTAATAGAGATATCTGAGTTAGCAAAGTTATCTGAGTTAGTGAAGTCATCTAAGTTAGTAAAGTTATTTAGGTTAGTGGGGTTATCTAGGTTAGTGGAGTTATCTAGGTTATCTGGATTAGAGGTATCACGATCACTATTGGTTGTAGAAACATCATAGTTAAGATTAGGAATGTTAATGGAGTAATATACTCCGGAGCAATCCTGAAATATAACCCACTCCATACCAGTATAGTTTTGGCATGACACCACCTCGGGTTATTAAGATACTAGTAATAGGAGTAAAATACTTTGGAGTAATACTATAATATAAAGTGGATTATACTCCGGAGTATTATATATTTTTGTTACATGAATTTATATTTATTATCGTTATGATTACATTAAACTCAAATTATTTTAAATTTTACTGCATACTAATTAACCCGAATATTATTTCTGGCTTCTTTCTGTTTACTAGCCCCTTCAGCACAAGCGTGACTCACTCAGGCTTTGCCCCTTTAGTACAAGCATAACTCATACAAGCTATTATTTACTAGCCCTTTTAGTACAGGCATGACTCACTCTTACTTTGCCCTTTAGTACAAATGTAACTTACTCAAACTATCGTTTTAGTACAAGCCACCTAAATTGCAGAAATGTATGCACGTACGTACTTACGTACATTATTTGTCATTTTGAGTTACTTATAGATAACCTGCTATATCAAACAGAGTACAGTATTCTCAAATCTGAAGATTTATCTGGTTATTGTTTTATAATAGATCTTATAATATTTTTTATAAAGAAATAAAAAATTAAAAAAAAATTGAAAATATAAACTCTATTAAAATCTATCTATACTCTTTTATTATAAACACTAACTCTAAATTCTAATTTAACTATTAAAAAAAAAGCTAAACAAAACATTTCAAAAAATTTTAAATTTTTAAAATAAAGTACAGTGCTAGACAAAAGTTTTTTTGATCTATATCTGCTTACAGAGAGGTGCTATAGCTTTGAAACTTTTCAAAAACTTAGTAAATAGTTAGTCTAAATGGTGTATTTTTTTGGTAATTTTTTGATTACTAGAAAAAATTTTAGATGAAAGTTAAAGTTTTGAATAATTTTTTTTATAAAAATTAAAAAATTAATTATGTTTAATTAAAAATTAATAAAAAATCAAGATCATGTTTAAAAATTCTAATTGTTTGGTATACTAAAGTTTAATAATTTTTATACTGATGACAAAAATTTATCTCAATTTGATGAAATAATTATTTAAAATTAATTTTTAAAGTTTAAATTTTATTGTTATTTCATTCTGTTTAAAAAAATTTGGTACAAACAGGTTTTAATTAATTTTACTATATAATTATAATAAATTATATAATAAAATTAATAAAAATCTGTTTGTGTTAATTGATAATCTGTCAGTCAACCAGAGAAAATAATCTACATTTACTAAGTAAATATGACGGAATTTACTTAATAAAAACCCTAATTTTCAAATGTA